AGCCGACGACGACAACGACAACGACGTCGACGACGACGACGTCGACGAGCCGAGGAGCGAGCCTGAAGTGGCAACAGCACTTAAATATTTGACCAAAATTGGCTGAAAACAACCAGCCAAAAGGTATTGGCGATAATTGAATGCTCTGCCATATAAGGCACTTGCATAATTCTATATGGAGTAGTTAGTATTCATATCTAATTGAATTGCTTTCCGATTTTGAATTGCATCAAGAGATTGGAAATTAGACTTGCTCTGTTTGAAATTCCAATTGGCGCTCTTACTAGGTGAAATGTCTAATTAGAAAAGGAATTGAGTAAGCCCCATCTTTACCTAAATAAAGAGGTAAGTCCCTAGGTAAACCTCAACTTTATTTAAATAAAGAAGTAAACTTGAGACCTTCTTGGACATATAGATAATCATTTAATTACAAGCAATAGTTTGACTTATATTATATTATATATTATATTATATTATATCTATCATTATATTATATCTATCAACAATCTATTTCTACTAATCAAACAGTATTTATTAAAGTAAGTATAATTAAAAAAATAATATTAAAATATTTATTTTTTAATGAAACTCCACTTTAAACTAAATATATAAAAATATAAGTACAAAATCAGGGTATAATTAAGTACTCTATTTAACTATTTGGCAGTTTATATAATAAGTACTAAAACTAGAATTGTTCATTTATTTATTTATTTAATTGTTACGAAGAATTAAGTCTAAATAACAAATAAGTTTAGGGCCAGAGCAACAAAGGCCTTCAGGCAGATGTTCATATATAAGCAAAAAACAAAACTTTTACCAGCTTAAATAGTTCTTACGTTTACACTGAAGGACAGAGCATCAGTCACATAGACGAGTTGGACTACAAGGACCTAGCTTAATCTACTGATCAAGAGCATAAAATAAATAAATATATATACATATAGTACTTATAAAGTTAGCCTGCAGCACACTCTTCCACAAAAATGATATCTAAATTCACATACGCTATAGGTTGGGGATATAAAAATATAGAGCCAGATCTGACAGTTTATGCATGCTTAATTTTTAAATACTTTTTTTAATATCTTTGCTTTTAAACAGGGTTGCTATAGAAGTGCGTAAAAACTTTGCTGTCTTAAAAAAAAAAAAAAAAAAAAAAAAAAGGAAAGAAAAAAAAAAGGGCTCACACACAATACTAACTAACTTAATATATAAGGAAAATAGTTATTTTAGCTGCTAGCAATCTATGCATTTTGCATGTTGCTCCATTGTACAAATATGCTGACAAAGTCTTTATACTTTGCCCACCTAGCTAAGTATTGCAAACAACAATAAACAACAGCAAAGAGTCTGCGGTGGGCAGACGACAGACCGAGCAGACGAGAGGCGATAGAGGAGAGATGAGAGACGAGAGACGAGAAACTATGGACGATGGACGACGACGTCATCGACACCTCCGATAGCTGAGCGATAGCTGGGTGGGTGGCTGCGGCTGCGGCTGTGACGGTGACTGGACACTAGACTCTGGCTCGGACTCTGACTCTGACTCCGACTCTGACTCTGACTGAGATCGGGAGTGACCGGTTGCAGAGAGACCGCACGAGTTGGCTGCATCTTCTCTGCTAGAGCTGAGCGAGGCGTTGGCGATGTTGGTAGAGTAGGGCAGGGTAGGGTAGGGTATGGGGGGCTCTATTCCTTTGCCTGTGCGCTGGCTTAGTTTGGCTTGTCTAGTGACTTGGCTGTAACCTCATTGACCAGAAAAATGCAAGCTGCAACAGCAACAAATGCAACAACATCGCAGCAGACAACAAAACATCAAATGTGAATTAGTGCACAAGGTAGCAAGGAGTGTGTCGAGGAGAAGCTACCAGCTGGCAGTGGGAGTCGAAAGGGGACGGGGTCGGTTGGATTTCGCAAATGCTCCATATTTATTGGCACTTTTCGGCTGGTGTCTGTGCTGTGGCTAGCAGCTGGCGAGGGCGGTGTGCGGGGCAGGCAAAAGAAGCAGCAGACGGAAGAGCAATCGGAGATAGTTGACAAACTGAGTCGAGTCGCAGTCCAAGTCGAAGTGGGGGCTAAATTCTAAATATATATACATATATACATATACTTACATCTATACAGTGCTTGTGATGAGTTTGAATGAGCTGATGGTTCCGACTGCGGATTGGCATTTTAATTATTAATTTCTGGGCAGCAGGAGCAGCACTCGAATCGTTTCGAATGCGGCGACAAGTGACAAATGGCGACTTTTGTAGCAAATCTCGTTCCATCAAAAATGCAACAAATTGAGTTGGTTTCGCATAAGTGCAGCCTGCATAGGCAGCTAGACAGAAATATGAAAATCTATGCAAATATGTATGTAAGCACATACATATAAAGTAAATCGGAGTGAGATGAACAGATATTCCATGAGGAAATATGTAAAATTGTTGTAAGAAACTTTCTGTGCAGCTTTGAAAATGGGTAACCTTAATAAAAACGCATGCGAAAATATAAAACTAACTAAAAATGTATTTAATATTATTTTTATTATTAAATTTTCATTCAACCCAATATATGCTTTATTTCAAAATTATTACATGTTGCTTAAAACTAGCTTATTTCTTTATCATTTATTATTTTTATTTTGTATCGGTTTAGTTTGATTGAGCTCTGAAGAATTCATTGTATTAATATTTTAATTAAAATTTTTAATAACTTTTTGATTTTTACTTTATGCAAATTAATACATTTACATTTTAAATATTTTTTACATAAAAAAAAAATAAATAAATAAATAAATATTACTTAAGTAAATTAAAGAAATTAATGTATATTAATATTTATACTAAATTTGTAATTTTCATTCAGAAAATCATAAAAATATTTTTATATTTTTAAGCTTTACAATAGTTTTCAGTAAATTAGATAAATTAATGCAAATTTAAATTTATTATTAACTTTTTAATTTTAATGCTACAATTTTTATTCTAAAAAATAATTGTATATACTAAAATCTCTTAAATAATTGCGCTTCAAACCAAAAAGCTTAATCTTATGGGAAATTGATAATCGTATAAATTCCTTTTAGTTCATTTCCAATTGGATAATAAGTAAAATTTCGCCTGCTAACCAAATGGCATTGCATATATTAAGAATGCAAATGGGATTTTGTTGTTGTTGTTGCTGTATCGCTCGCAATGCACACCTCAAAACATTTTGGAACTAAAAAAAAGATTATAATATGTAAATATAAATTAGAATTCGCCAACCACACCCGCCTCCTGCTACCCCAGGTAGAACGCACTGGTCATCAATGCAGCCCTTGCCTCTGCCCCTGCCCCATCCCGATCCCCAGCCACAGTGCCAGCCCCTGCAACGATTGCCGGCCAAAAGCATTGAGAAGCAACAATAATTGCTCAAATTTGCGCTCACACTGCACGCGCGCGTTTGCTCTCAGTGCTCCCACACAGACGCTCGGACTCACTCTTGGAGCTTGCTCCGTCTCGTTCAGTCTGGGGGGCCGGAGCTTCGTCAAGTGCTGCTCACTTCTCCTGCGCCGAAAACAGTTATAAATGCTGCCCACGTCGCAGTCGCAGCTGCTGCTGCTGCCGTTGCAGTCGTCGTCGGCAGCGGCAGCGCTCATTTGTGCGCTTAATGACGTCATTATTTTTATTTTAACAACGCTCGGCAGCGGGCGGGGCAGCGACGCAGTAAAATACGACAACGAGTGCGAGCATTTCAATGGTGCATGTTGTGTGTGCGTTGCTCCTGCGCAGTCGGCGGCGCTGCCGACGTTGTGCTCGCGTTTTGTTTCACATATTAGCTGAGACAAGACCACAGGCCAACCCAGCCACCCCCTCGCTCTCAGCCCAACCAACCACTCGCTGCTGGCGTCGACGTCAGTTTGACTATGTCTGGTTTTTCGCTCTCGCTCTCCCGTCCTCTCTCTCGCTCTCTCTCACTCTGTCTCTCTAACTCTGTCGCTCTTTCTCTCTCCCACTCTCGCTCTTTCACTCAGTCGCTCTCGTTCTCGCTCCCTCGTTGTTGTCTCGTGCTCGCTTGCTCCTCCAGAGGCTTGGGCCGTTTGCTTCGGCTTCGGCAACGGCTTCGGCAACATTTTTGTTTGCTCGTGTTTGTCGTAAGTCGTCGTCGTCGTTGTCGTCGTCGTGGGCTGTTGCTGCTGCTGCTGCTGTTGTTGTTGTTGCTGTTGCTGTTGTTGTGGCCGCGCTTTGCTACTTATGTTGATGATTGTTGGGGGTCCAAGCGCCGTTTGTGCGCCACACGTTCATTCAGTCTGTGGACGACTTTGCGCCTGTACGTACCACTCACGCACCGTTACGCTACTGAGCGCGCCTATACCATACAGTCGAACGCACACTTACGCATACACACACTCACACACACACACAATCACTCACTCACACACACACACACACACTCACACAGAGAGCAACGCGTGTGCATTTTTGCATTCCATTGCCGGCGTGTGCCAGGCAGCAGCATTTCACAGCTGCAACTGCAACAGCAACCTGAGCAAAAGTATTCCAAAGATTTCGCGCGCGCTTATCTCAAGAAATCGTCGCGTGTGGCTCAGCAACAACAAAAACAAACAAACATTAATCAACAACAACATCAATATCAGCAGCAACAACAACAGCAACAACTTCAAATTGCAGCATCTGTGTGTGTGTGAGATCCAAAAAGTGCATCAATTTATTATACAAACATAACTCTCGATCCCAGTCCGATCGGCTCTCAGTGCAATTTTCTTAAATATACTACAAATACTCTTTGGCAATATATCAAATTTCGGGTTTGACCTATAGTTCTTGTAAAACTTATTACGTGTTCGTAAATATCTAAACCAAATTTATATAAATTATTCTGAATTAAAACTAAGAAGTGCAAAAATATATATAAACAAATATTAAGTGAAAATTTCTCAAAAGTTCCAGAGGAAAGCAAATTAACAAACATATTTAAATTCAACTTTAATACATCCAAGAAAACCGGTAATTAAACAATATTTATTAAATATAGAATTAATGGTTAATTATGGATTAATTAGTAGAAATTCTATGATTTGATTTACAAAATTATTATTTATTTTGGGTCTTTAACCTACGATTTGATTGAAAAATTATTATTTATTTAGGCTTTTTAAGCGACATTTTTTAGAGATAGTTTTCAGGCAAAATATTTGATAACAGATCTTCAGATATCAATTCGAATTATTTCCCATCTGACAAGTCTTGCAGTTCCAGTTGGAAGTTTTTTCTATTTAACAAATCCCAATTCAGTGTTAATTAAATATGATATATCAGATTATTTCTAACAAATCCTGTTCGAATTCTTTCCTATCAGACTATTCGCAGCTTTTTGTTTATTGAATATCGAATATAATTTCTATAGCAACTGTTTCAAAAGTGATTTGAATTAGAATTTTTGTGATTATATTTAGCTTATCTTTAGATATTCATTTCTATAAATAAATATAAAAATATCTGCATGCTCATACTTATTCTCAATGTAATGCAGATTTGTAAACTGGTTTGCAAATTGAAATTTATAAAAAATATGAAAAATATTTAATTGATTACTTTGAATTTCGAGTGCTTCAAACCGGCTTCGAAATAAAAAACAATATGTTTTCAATATAATTAAGCATAAAATTGAACGAGCTAAAATTAAATTGCTTCAACTGCAGCCTCAAGTGTTTGAGTTGTGAAAGTGAAGCGGTCATAAAACTTTATGTTAAGCTGTAAATAAAAATATGCTTGATAAATTCGGCAATGGAACTTGATAGCGTAATAAATTAAATCAATAAAAAAAATTATAATAATAATATTTTCCACTCAGTTTTAATATTTGCATAAAGCAAAAGACTTGAGCCAAACAGTGTCACTTGAAATATCAAATATCTTAGGCAAAATCATTAGCATTAGCATTAACATTATCGTAGATCGCATCGAGAGCCCACTCTTAGAAATACCATTAGCAGCAGCCCGCTGGCTGAAGTATCTTCATAGTCAAATCGAAATGTGCTTCTCACGCACTTTAAGAACTGCAGCGCCAAATGCGCGTTTTATGCAAATCTTTGCCTTGACATCGTAGTGCAGTTTAATACAATAAATTGATGTGATTTTTATGCAATGAGATAAGAGCGTTAATAGCATTAATTAAGCATAATTTTACAAGCAACAACAGCAACAACAAAAACAACAACAGCAGCGACAACAATTCAAGTTGCAACGCCGTCATTAACTCTCGGCTGCGCTGCAATTTGAGGCACTCTGAAAATGATATAAGGAAAACTCTGCCCCATCCGCACCGCCCCAAGCACCCCGCGCACCCAACTGGCAAAAATAGACTCGGCCATCTAATAATAAAAGCAAATACAATAAATAATAATAAAGCAGGCAGCCAAACTAAACTAATCATATGTTTAGCGACGGCCGCAGCGCGGCCAATTTGCAACAATGAGCCGCTTAAATGTATCTGTGAGATACTAAAATAAAAATACTAAAAATGAGAGGAAAAATAAATAAAAAAAAAACGACAACTCTACACATAAATAGTTTAATGTGCTAAGCCTTGCAAATGATGCCACCCCACAAAAAAAAAAAAAAAAAAAAAAAAAGTTGAACAAAAAAAAACATACTTAATAGATATCTAAATATTACAATTGCCATTTGAATGAGTCGCGGACGTTTTGCAAAATGCGCGCGCGCCGTTCGCTTGTAAAATGTATCTGCCAGATACAATAAGCAGCAATTCACACCAACAACAGCAACAACAATGGCATTACTAATAATCAGTTTCATTCGGCAGTCGCAGCTAAACCTGCGCGTTACATTTTTCCCAGTGTGTCCAAGTTCCACAAATTATCATCCGTATCTGTATCTGTAGCTGTTGCTGTTCACTGTTTACTGTTTACTGTTGCTGTAGCTAGGCTACAAAGTATCTCCAGCTATATCTGTGTATGGGTAAGGGGGCTAGACTCGAACGAGCTCCGCTTGCACTTTTGTTGCATTGTTCGCTGCTGCTGCCGCTTGGCTCGTTCATTTAATTAAATATAATTAGCTGCATTAATTGCAAATTAATACAGAGTTTAGTTTGCATTGTTGCCAAGTGGTTGGCAATGTCACATTGTGTGCGATGGGGGGTGCTGGGCGGGATGGGGGCGGCGTAACACGAGAGCACATAGGGCAGTTTGGCCCGCAACTCGTTTTCCACGGCTCGTTATCGCGTAATTATTTAGTTGGCCGACTGTTTACAGATTCGTAGCACATAAATTTATGAGTATTATACTACTTAGTATTTGTTAGCATCCCAATGACATTCAGCGGAATCTAATTTCGGATTTTCGCTTTTCGGAATTTTCAAAACATTTGCATTTAATGAGTTAATCATTATTTTCTTTCTTTCTTTTTTTTTTTAATTTTAATTCTCGCCAATCAAGCGAATTTGGAATTTTTGTGTTTGTTTTTTTTTTTTTCTAACTTTTCATGTGATCTCTAATAGATCGAGGGTAAAAAGCCGTCGGTGAAGTGTTTATATCGAAATTAATATTTATAATAAACGTAAAATGTACAAATGTAATGAAGCCTGTTTTATATTTAAATCTATACAATTAAAAATTGTTTGAAGTGGCTAAAAAATATTTTAAATAATTTATTCAAAAGAAACGAGATCCCTTTATAATTGCGCTGAGAGAGAATGCCTTGCTGATAGAAAATAAATAGAGTTCCTAGAAATATTAGGTATATTTTTCCATATAATTAATATTTATAGAAAATAATAACAATTTGTTGCTAAAATGATAAGGAATCAAATTTTATTTTATTGAAAAATAATCAAATTCTAACAAACAAAAATGCCAGGAAATATTCTGAATTTATAAGGATCATGAAATACACGCTGATGTCGCACAGTATAAAATATTCCTCTATATAAAGCATATGTGTACATGTTTATCCTATACAATCCATAAACTCTTACTACGGTTTACAAGTTCAACAAGCCCATAAAAAATAGCATTCTCTTTATGTCTGCCATAGACGTAAACGCATCTAGTCGTATTGCAAGTAAATGTTAATGCTAATGCTACTTTACATGCAAATAGCCTGATTAAAATATTTAGAAGACATATTTCTGATGATATTGCGCATCATCAGAGAAATCCATTAAGAGCGTATGTCGTTCCCAAGTTTTTAATGCACAAATTGCTGCACGAAAAATTACAAGGCGAAAAGGAGAAGAGAAGACGAAGAAGAGGACGAACAATTATTAGATATTAAATTAAAATTAAAAGTTGCTGTTGCTGTTGTTGTTCAGGTTGCTGTTGCGGTTTTTTTATGACAAACGGATGACGAACGCATAAAAATGCTGCAAGTGCGGCACAAGAAACAGCAAAGCAGCGAAGCAAACATTAAAAATAACCAAAAGCCAGCGGCAATTGCAATTCGCCTGCCTCCAACTGCATTCAACTGCTGCCCCTGCCCAATCGGTCTCCCTCTCCCTCTCTCTCTCTCTCTCTCTCTCTCTCTCCGCCTGCTCACGCGACGTCACGTTGTCACTTTAAGTAGGCAAATCGTAAAAGCCGCCAACAACAAAATAAAAGATTGCAAAAAAGCAAAGAGAAACAAAAAATAAAATAAAATAAAAATCCAGCTAAAGAAAAGTGCGTAATTATGTGCAGATATTTTGGCATGCAGCTGCAGCCAAACCCGCCCACCAGCTAATGAGCATTCCCTCTCTCTCACTCCTTCACTCCCTCTCTCTCTCGCACTCTCTGTTGAGTTCAGTTGCCCAACCTGGCCAAATGCACGAGTCTAAACAAAATTAAGAGAATAATTACGACTCGTAAATGCATTGAAACGCACGCAAATGAGACGCTGTCAGCGGGGAAGCAGCAGGAGCAGAAGGAGGTGGCTGAGGAGGCGGATGGGGGCATCTTGAAAGGATTTTCGGCTTTTGATGTGCAGCCAATTGGCAGGTCGGAGCGCTTAATGCTTTTCTGCCGTTGCTCTTTACGGCCACAGCGAACAGGAAATGCATTTCAATTAGGAAAAACCCATAAAACAGACGTTAAATTGCATATACATATATTACTGATGAGTAGCAACAGCAGCTAATTTACTTGATATTCTTTGATTTAGACCTGAAATTATTACATGAATAAAATAAGTGTAATACATTAAAAGGGCGAGTCTAATGCAGTACAAAGTATTTTATAGAGATTTAATTTTTCATTAATAATGTTTCATTTGAAATCTCTCTTGATAGTAAAATTTATACTAAAATATTAAGTAAAACATTTCTTAAGACAAAATTGGAATATTATTCTGCGAAATCAGAAAGCAAGAAATTACTTTTACGAGGAACTATTTCTTATGTAAATATTATTAAAAATTTTAAATAAATATCATAAATATTTCTAGGAAAAATATTCGGGATACTAAGACTGAAATTATTCATTTATTTATATATTTAAATAAATAAATGAATTAAATTAATTTTTGTTTTAAATAAATAAATGAATTATTCATTTATTTATTTAAAATGCGTTAGCTCAATTTTACATCAATTAACAAGGTAAGCTTGTCAATAAATGTTAGAAAGCATAAGACTATATAAGAAATCGATAAAGGGCCAAAGAATATCAAATTTAATTAGCTGAGTAAGATTGCATATTTAAAGAAACTTTTAGAACTAATTTCTCTGATACATTTTTTAATGTCTGTTTAATGTGTGTTATAGTAAATTTATAAAAATTGAAAAACATAAATTGAACAAAATTTTTAAGACTAAAATTAATTCAGTTAAAGAAAATGCTTTGCTAAAAAAAAGTAAAAATTTTAAAAATAATGATAATAATAATAATCATCACAATAAATAAATAAATAAAAAAAAAAAAAAAATAATTCACAAACTTGAGATTTTAAGAGTAGCCAAAAAAGACAAATAGGGTTTCCACTGCTTATCAATACTCTTTATACATCAATTTGAG